ATGTAAAATAAGTTGGAGAAAGAAATGGAAATGGGGGGAAGCTGGGTGGCGCAGTGGATAGAGCACCAGCTCTGGAGTCAGGAGGACCTGTGTTCAAATGCGGCCTCGGACACACAATACTCACTAGCTGTGTGACTCTGGGCAAGTCATTTAACCCCACTGACCTCACCAAAAAAAAAAAGAAAAGAAAAAAATAGCAAATAGTAGCAGATACACACATTTGAATGGAAGCTTTTTGGAAATCAGGATTGTTTAATTCTTTGCCTTTGTCACCTTTGTTGAACTCAGTGCCTGATGCATAGTAGGTGCTTAATAACAGTTTTGGATTATTTAATTGGTTTGAAACTACTCCATGCAAGAGGGATTAGAATTCCTTATTTTGGATTAGGAGTAATTGGTAAATTTTGCAATGAGGCAAAGCTAGGTTTGAATTAAGAAAACTTACCAATTAGACCTATTTGAAAGAGAATTGGGCTTCCTGAAGAGGTAGGCTCTGCCCTCATTGCAGATGGGTACATGGCTGAATGGGTACATTTAATGCTGTATCATGGAGGAATTCATTTTCAAATATGATTTGGAGTAGATAACCCACAAGGTCCTTTCTTACTCTCAAATTATGTAATTCTGTGAAGTCAGTTTCAGGTCAGCCACAATTTTTTTAAAAAATTAGTTTGTTTCTTAACCCAGCCCTCCTCCCATTACCCTTCCTCAATCTGGCCCTAGGGGAAATTCAAATGGCTTCCTTCGAATAAGGAAAACTGATTTCTATACCCAGGGCAGACTTAAGCACAGCAGCAGGTGAGAAACAAGGACAGCATCCTTATCACTCAGAACATGTTCAGTAACCATGAGTCACACTGTGTATCCTTAGCAGGGAGTCATAACCTCCTTCCTTCCCTCAATCCTTCTTCCATGCCTTACTAGATAGAAAAGGGAGAAGAGATTGTACAGGGTAGCAGCAAGCGGACTTAGGAACATGTATGAGACCTTGTTCCCACAGGCAGAGTATGTGGCAGAAATGATTTCTCATGAAAATAATGGGAGACAATGCTAAGCTGACCTTGAAAGGGAAATAGAGGTGGTGAGAGAAATGTTCATGCAGTACAGCTCCTTTGACCTAGACCTACACTGATGCATGACTTCAAATGTTCATATGTACTATTTGTGCACATTCTGTGGCAGAGCCTTCTGAGATGGTATTGTCTGATCAGTCACTTGTCAGGCACCCTGTATTTTGACCCCAACATAGTGATGTGATTTTGGTCCTCTTTGTGCACACAGCACAACAATCACCACACTGATGCTATCCCTAAGTTAAGAGGCTGTTATAGTATCTTGGTCAGGAGAATCTTCAAACCAGGTCAGACTCAAGACTCTTCAACTTAGCTAGATGGTGCCTTAGCTCTTTGGGAAGAGGTGGTGGGTGGGATGAAAGATTTTATGGTAGAACCTTGATAGTGACTCATGGGTTGGAGGGATTAGCAGACCTAGTGAACTCTGTACAGTTTTTGCTTTTTTTTTTGTTTTTTGTTTTTTGTTTTTGCAAGTATCATACTGAGCATATTAAAGCCAGGAATCTAAAACTTCCACAAATAACTGGAGCCTGTCCCAGTTTCTCACCTTCTACTCCAAGACCAGAGGAGACCAAGACAACTGGTTGAATTTGCAAGTTAGTACTGTAGGGAAGTCGAGATTAAGTTTCCAGATGAATGCTTAGAGGCCTTAAACATTCAGAGAAAGAAGGATATATAAAACTTTGTGCTGGTCTCTGATTTTTTTCCTTTGTTATCACTTGATTTTCCTTGGACTAGTTTCAGTGTTAATATATGGGAAGAATCAAACTTCAGTCTTGATTTTGTGGTTAAAGTCCTTCAGTCTTCATTCAGAATACAAACAATTTCTGGGAGAGGCAACATTTAACTCACAGAACCCTCTGTCATTNTTCAGTCTTGATTTTGTGGTTAAAGTCCTTCAGTCTTTATTCAGAATACAAACAATTTCTGGGAGAGGCAACATTTAACTCACAGAACCCTCTGTCATT